GTTTCAAGACAAACAATTCCAACTGAGACTGATTCTTATTTCTAAAATATTTTCTATCTAGGTTTGCCTATCGTCCGGTTCATACACTACCACAGTTTTTTGAACATGAGCAGAGCTTTATCCCTTGTTTCCTGTTTAGGATTGGGTTTCTAAGGTCTACTTCAATTCTATACTTCTGATGTCTCTGTCTGAACTCTGAACTTTTATTCACTGAATAAACCTTGACCCCTTTAAGTCTAGCAGTAGCCGATATCTTGCCTGCATAACCACAAGAACTTCACTTCTTGCCCTTTCTTACACTTCTACAACACCACACAGTAAGCCTCTACTTTGAGTGGTTCTTGGGCCTTGAATTTGCTGAACATTATTAAAAAAAAAAAAAACCTAATGAGTCAAGCATGGAATTTTTTTCCAGCTTTAATTTGCTTTTGATATTTCTACATTATTTATATTTAATTTTTTAATTTCAGTTTGAATTCATGAGCCAACATTTGGTTTTTGCTAATTGCATTCCACTTGTGCTGAAATTTTTCAACCAAAATATCATGTCTTATGTAGCAACAAAAAATAGGTAAGTTTTATTTGTACATTACCATTGATTACATAAAACATTCCTCTAAATTGTGTACATTTTATGAGGTTCATTAAATATCCCTAATTACCTCCCCTTAAGTTTTCTTCCAAGTTACTAGTTCATTCCTATTAAAACAATTATGACATTTTATGAGTCAGCCACAGTCTGTTGCAGTTTCCTAAATGGATTCTACATGTCTCATTCCATCTGTGCCACAGAGGAAAGTCATGTATGGATCACTTCCTGGCAAGTTGAGGTCCACCTTAGTAAATTTATGTCATCAGCACTTCTACTTTGATCTTCTTTCACCTCCAACCAACTCTTGCAAAGCCAAATGTCAATAAAGAATAGATGATGAGAACAGGTTTTGATGAAACTAGATGCTTCTCATCCAGAATCTGCATGTTGGGCAGTGAATTTAGTCATCGACGCCATCATCATAAAGAAAGTGATGAGCAAAGAAGAAATTAAATTCTTGGATTTAAGATAAAGTTGATTATTAAGATAATAATATTTCCTAACTTTGTTGCCAAATTTTTGAAATTATTCTTGGAATAGGAATTTTTTTTTTCTGTGGCTTCCTGGAGACTGAAAAGGATGCAAAAATGCAACCCCAAGTCAAACTCGCACCTTTTTCAGACATCAGAGCATCAGTGGAACAAAACTAGTCATATTGCCATATTCACAAGGTTTCAGCCATTGTACGCTCCAACCTTCTTCAGGTGATATACATTGGAATTTCAAACTTAACCCAAGCACACATGGCCCACTGAATAAAAGTGTTCATTGAAGTAATCCAAAAAGTAACTTTACACAAAGAGTTGTGAGTTCAATACCTGGCCACTGCAAAGGGAGAGTTGAGTTACTAAAAGGAATTAACTGATATTGAGATATCCAAGAAAAGTATGGCATGTGGAATAAGAACAGTCTACTCTTGTAGACTGAATAAATGGTTTGGTTTGAAAATCCAATGTATATCACCTGAAGAAGGTCAGAATGTACAACAGTCAAAATATTGTGAATATGGCACTAAAATTAGGGCAACAGTCTGAATGAGAGGCAAATAAGTTACATACCTCATTTTAGAAATATAGACAGATATAGTCTGTATGTTTACAATTGAAGCCACTAGGTTCATTCACTAGTTTAGCTCATAGTATTAATACTGACTCGACCAGAAAGAATTAAGTAAATTTTGTCATTCATAAGAGGCCATTGTTTATTAATTCTTTGCTGATGTTTCAAATCTAAAATTAACTGAGAAGTTTTCAAACTCAAAAAAACCTCATTGGATATTTGATTTTAATTTGATTATTTTTTTTTTGCTTTGCAACTAAAGATTACAAAAAGTATTAAATATTTCCTAGAAGCAAAAAGTAAATATATATATATATTTTTTTCTTTTCAGTATTCTGGCTCTGGATTTTCCTTCGTGTGTTATTGGGGAGCAAATTGAAATAACAACTGAAAGTTTGGTAAGCAAATTTCTTTCCTCATTTCATTGGTAAAGAAATTCTGTTGCAACTCCTTTCTTTATTCACTTCACATTCATTCTTCCTGACTTTGTCATCTTTTCCATTTTAATTAAGACAAAAAGCCAACTTGTTAACCCCCCCCCTTTTTTCACCCAATATAAGGCCCTAGAGCCCCTCAAAATAAAGGGTTACTGAATAGGAATGTTCTAAGGGTGTACATGGTGGGAGCAGAGGCTGTATGTTGTAAGGATATGTAGGACTGATAACAGTTAACCCTAAATTTGAAAAAGATAAGATTGTAGTGATCAGGAAAGCACCCTCTCAAGAGTTTGTTCCATGAAGTAACAGTTTGGGGAAAGAAGCTGTTTGAGTGGAACTTACAATTTCCCAATGGAATAGGAATAGTTCCTATTTATTTTATGCAAGGAAAGAACATTGGCATAGAAGAGATATGATTAGGGGTTTCATTTGGTGGATTATTTCTAAATTTATTTTAATATTGTTCACTCAATATAAGGCCTAAGAGCTACTAAAGGTAGAAAGTTACTAAATGAGGTTGTGGAAGGGCATACAGAGTGGATGCAAGTGGTTCATATTATGAGGATATGTAGGACAGATAAAGGTTGACCCTTGAGTTAAGGAGGTTAACATTGTAGTGATCAGAAAAGGATTCTCTTGAATCTGTTAAATATTGCAACAGTTCTTGGGAAGAAGATGTCTGAGTTGAACTCTATTCTCACCCACATATGTTTTTGGCAATAAAATGTTTCTATCCAAACTTGAAGATTGAAAAATCGATGCAAAAAATGGGAAAAAATATGAGAGCAAATCCAATTCTATCCAATGAGATAAATGTTTATTTTTCAGTCTGTAGATATAAAATTTGGACAGAACTTTTTCCTTTGTTTTTTATTTTCTTGCACTCATGAAAAACTGGGGCAAAATTGTTAAATGCGGATTCAGTTGCTGATAATGTTGAAAAAGTTCAAATATATTGTCTAAAAATCTGAAAATTAATTTGAATAATTTTTTTTAATCATTTCACCCCAAGCAAGGTGATAAAGCCACTGTGGTACAGAACACTGTTGATCATGGCTCTCCACAATTTCCTGTTCTTTATAGCTCTTAGAAAAGTTTGTCTTTTTGCTGTCTGTTCTGTCAACTATATACTTTATGTAGGTTATGTGCTGCTTTTCTTTGACCCTCTTGCCTTCAATGTGTCCTGTGTGTATCAAATTTTCTAAGCTCTCTTTCCTCATTATGTGCCTGAGAAATTTCAATTGTCTCTTTCTGATGCAGAGTATAAGTATTCTTTTTATTTCAGTTTTCTCTAAAATTCATTGCTCAGTCCATGCTATTCCTTCTATTGAACCACATTTCTGTAACCTCAAGTCTCTTCTTCATCTGTGATGAGATTGTCTAGCATTAACTGTACTATAGGAGGATTGATATTACATAATAATTTGGTATTCTTTTCTTTGTTACTGAGAGTAAAAGAATCCAAAAAAATGTTATTGAGTAGAAAGGACAATAAAAGAACAGGATTCAAAAAGACATATGACTATTAATGTCTCATTTAAATTTTTGAAGATCATAGTTAACAAAAAATCAAGAAGCCAAAAGAGAGTTCCACAAGCAAGAAGTGTTGGAGAAGAAACTATTATAATAGAACTTATGGTTTCATATATTAATTTAAACAGTAAAATGTGACCTAACTGCTAATCAAGTACTTGCTTAAATTTATGAAGTCAAGGTACCGAGGAGGAAAGCTCATCAGAACATTTACCATGAAAATATTTATTAAAAAGGAACAGAGAAGCTACATTACGGCAGTGAAAAAGTGATTGAAGCTGAGATGCCAACTCAGGACTGATAATATTGCAGATTCTTTGGATTTTGTCAATAATGGCTTTTATTTTTTGGTAATGGTTTTTCTCAAGATTAATATGAAGATGTTTGAAAATACTTCCGTCTACCTTTGTTTTAACTAATCACAATTGGTATGCTTTTATTACACCAAACATTATGTTGATATTTATTTTTTATTTTTGTTTTTTTGACTTTCTGAATGAAAACATTTTTGCTCTTCATCAAGTATCATGACGTGAAGGAATCACAAATTCTTCAAAATCAATTTATCTAATATTTCTTTTCTTTTTTTTCTCAAGGAAAATGGGGACAGTCAAATATTTTGCTGGCGTAATTTATTCTCCTGTATCAACCTTCTACGAATTTTAAACAAACTGACCAAATGGAAACATTCAAGAACAATGGTAAGAACTAATTCCAATTCTTCTCATTGTAACATCCATTCCAACTTGATTGTTTATGACATGAGAAGAATCATTAATAGCCTAAACTTTACACTATTGAGCTCCATTTGTTAATGTTACAAGATTTTGGACAATTTATTCTATACATTTTTTCTCTCTCTCACACACACACACACACACACACACACATATATATAGTATGCTATATTTATAGGTTAAAGTACTCAATATCAGGGATAGTGTATGTAAATATAAGTGGACATTGAAGTCAACACCCAGAGGCAACAGATTGTTTCATGCTAAACACAATTGTCAGGTGATTGATTGTATTATATATACACCCATTTAATGTTGAAATCGTTAAATGTAATTGCCACTTCTACTCCAACAGTTTTTTCTACTTCCTGACGTTGGAACTTGCTTCCATGATAACTAAAATCTTCAAAAATTTAAATGCAACATCAATCAACATCTTCTGTTACTATGATCCCTGTCCTTTTTTTCCTTTCCCCAATCCCTCCTACACCCACTCTTTTCAATGACTTTCGCTTTCCGTAACCCCCTGCATGCTAGTGGCACTACTGTCTTGCTTGAGGGCAAATGCTTAATATATATATATATATATATATATATATATATACGGTCACTGTATTTTTATTTTGGTTTATGCCTACATCATGTTGAGACCCCAGTTCCCATATGGTTACTGAAGTTAAATAATGTTGAGCTTGGTTTGTACCTAGATGGGTGACCGTTTGGGAATACCAGCTGCTGTAAGCTTGGATGTGTGAGCGGTGTAATGGATAATTGCTTTGCATTGTTAATCAGGGAGCCGAGTTCAATTCCTCTTGATTTTTTTTATTTTTAATTACACACAAATACTCTTGGGAAAGGTATTAATCTACCTCTTCTCCCTTCCTAGGTATTAGTTAATTAGTAAGGTTTGTATTACTAAACCAATGTTATCTCAAAAAAAAAATCTTACAATCTACACATATTTTCTGACTTTAAATAACCTGCAAGTGGTTGATAATTTCCATCCTAGAGACACATATCTTCATCTTATATGATATTGTTTTTAATAAGATCTGCTTAGTGGTTGAAATAATTGCCTATATCTCTGGCACCATTGGTTATTTTTTGAGTTGAAGTAAAAACCAGAATTGAAAGGCAGGCAATACCCCACTTTGTGCAACATAATCTTCCTACTCACTGTTTATCATACTTGGCCTTAGGCCAGATATCTGTGAACTCATTATAATTCTGCATGTACCTTCATTCATGCATCTGTTACACCCTGCCATTACCTCAGATAAATAATGGACCATTTCATTTTGATAGCAAGGAAATAAAAAGATATATGGGAAACATTTACTGGTTTTAATGAGAAAAAGAAAGCATACATAATAATGAAAAAGAAAGTGAAGATAGAAGTGTTGATGTTATCAGACACTTTCCATTTCAGTAAAAGGGAAAGCTTGTAAACTTATAATCTTTTCATTTGTACCCTCTTACTTCTTTAAATACTGATTTGCATTCATACTTATTATAGTTGTTGCAATATTTTGTTAAACTTGTTAATC